GACTTTGCTGTCTCATGCTCCTAGCACACCAGTATTTTACTATTAGTAAGGCTGTCCTATTCTCTGATATCCTAAATAGTTGAACAGTAACTGCAGTATAAACCTCAGAAAGTTGCTTTTCTTTGTAGCCAATTATTTTATCTTAGGGATAGGCCAAAAAAGCAGTTATAACGTAAAATAGGCTAGTGTTCACAGGAGGACTAATGTTGACTGAAGTCCTGCTGAGCTGTACTGAACATGCAGTGTTTCCTTTTTGGGTCTGTTTGTTTTTTAAGAGAAAAGATGAAACACTATCCTGCAAACAAGCAAAGTGTTCATGTATTCTCTGTTGGATAGCAAGTCTGAATCACCTCATGTGCACATAAATCTCCCAAGCTCTTGCAACATGAGCTTACTTTTCTCTGTCCAAGCCTGGAATGTTCAGAAGAGCCTCAAGGATGAGAGTAGGAGAGAGCAAGTTAATATCTTTTCTAAGGGCAAATGTTTTTAAGGAAGTTGAAAGTAACTTACAAGGTATTTCCTTATTCTCTTTCTGCCGGTGTCTTTATTAATGAGCTTTTAACCCAGTTTGAAAAACTTGACTAGAATTAATGATGTCACCAAATATGAGAATATGGAAATTCTCTGCAGGCTCACTTCTCAGAAGCATATCTGTGTGCATAACAAAAAATAAGTCAAGGCATCAGCCTCCTTCTGTTGTCTGTTTCTTTTGTTCTCTTAGCATAGCCTGGTTTTTTGGACTGTGATCTACAAAACTTAAGTTCTCCTTAATGTACTACACATGGTTGCATTTTTCCTTTGTTGCTCTTTAGGAATCTTTGGATGGTTTTTTGGCCATTATCAAGGATGTCAGAGGAGGTATTTATTCCAAAACTCATAGCACAGATTAGCATGTATCTATCATTTGAACTGGACAGAAATCCCTGAAGGTTTTTCATTATTTTAGGAAAAACTGAATTTTCTCGTCCCAGTAGGGGAGACTCATGGGGAAAGAAAGGAAAAAAGAAGTGGAAGATTCTAGTGCTTTGGAAGAATAAGGAAAATCTAGACTAGATTGGGAAAGAATGTTAATGCTTTTTTGCTTTTGAAAATAAATTTTTAAAAGCCAGAGAAATGTAATGCATTTTATTTTCCTTCATATTTTGTGGAAGATAAAATATATTTTTGACTAGTACAATTCTGAATTCTTCTGGATCTATAGAAAAATTGTCTTTGATGGGTCCACATTTACTTAGTTCCCTATAATACTTAGTTTATTTCACATTCTCTTACTTTTCGTACTTACTCCATTCAAAGAGATGTCATTATGATCCTTCTGAGAAGGATCAAAACAGTAGTCCTACTATCCAAATCATTCCTAGTGTCTTCCCTTCTGCACTTCAAGGGCAGTTCTCACAAGGTTTACATATGGTACTAAAAGCAAGTCTGTTCTTTCTATTGTTTTTAAACTGTGAATGTATATTTTAAAAAAGCTACAATCTTAATTATATTATGGTTACATTAAGAAAACTAAAAAAATCACCTCTAAGTGCATTTGGAAAAGAAATTGATATTTTAATTTTCTTCAGAAAGACAAAGCTAAAATTTTCTGATATTTAATTGCTAGTGGAGGATGGCTCTTGTATATATTCAGTTGCTTTTCTGTACTGCCATATTTTGCATAAAACTGCTATCAATGTGACAAAGAAGAATATACAATCTTTGTAATTTAAAAAGAAAATTTAGAATGGAAAACCACATTTTTTTAAACTCAGACATTCTTTTATGCCCTTCGTGTTCTGTTTTCTCATTTAATTAATTCTGTCTAAATGTCCAAATTAAGTAATTAGACCATTCAAAACAAGACTGAGCAGGTTTTTTCATTTTTTTCCCCTAGAGCAATGAGAGGCTTATGTGTTACCAGGATGACCAAATTCCTAGGTGTCACAGTATAAATAAGTATAAATAAGTATAAATTGAAGAGAGACTCAATTAAATCAACCTGTAGGGCTTTAAAAACATGTGGCTACTTGAACCACATGACAAGAGCACAGAAGAAATTATTACACTAGCATGCAGTAAACACTGAAGTATATGGAAAAAAAAGATCGGTTAGTTTGTTGGTACTTGGAAGCATGGACCATAGATGAAAATTAACATTTTACTATCAGTTGCAGTGGATTTCACTTCTTATTTTTGTGTTTGCACTACATCCTGCCAATGGGACATCCCTGACTTCTCCTGAAATGTACTTTTAATATAATGCAGAGTAATTTCAGCAGACATGTATTTGTGGTAGAGCCTGTTGCAGTCATGCTCTTAAAGCTCTGCATCTAGGGATTTCATTGACTCTTCAATATATTGGTGTTTGCAGTCCTCTGTGTAGCTGTTTTTCTCCAAAATGCAGAATTCCTTGTATTAAGACGAAGATAACATTCACCTCAGAGCCAGCAAAGCAATTACACTGAGCACAATAAATGAAATGTAATGAGCTGAATAAATCACTTCATACATTTCTGATGGAACTGGAAAGTCTTTAGAATCAAATCATTCTATTATGCTGCTGTCTTTTCAAATTAACTAGGCTCACAGAGGATATTAGACTACTTTATTATGGGGCTACTCTGGATTTAGTCTATCTAATAGAGAAACAAATTTATCCCTTAAGTGCATTCTGTCCAACCTGATTTTTTTGAAACAGTTGGGTTATTCTATATCATTTGAATTACACTTGGAAAGTGTTAAAGTCTACAGCTTAACTGAAAACTCATGTGCCTTCTACCTCTTCCCTTCAGCTTTACAGACTACAGTGTTTCAGCTGCCTCAGTTGTCGGTATCTTATCTCAGGCCTGATTCTGTGGCATATCATCCATAGACTGTGCAATCGTATCAATGAAGCAGCATTTTGCGAAAGATGTGTGATCATGTGCAAAGGGAGAGCCAAGTGAATGTGCATGATCTTAAAGTCTGAGGTCGAGGATGTGATTTTGAAGTTTCATTGGTTCTTACACATACTGATACTCCTTCAGTCAAAAGCTTATTAATGAAATCAAATGTGTTATTCATTAGTGGCATTGTGGAAGCACTTAGAAGGTCCAGAGACCAGGTAAATGAACTACAGCATTACTAGTTACTGGAAACCCATCAGCTTATTATAACTGTCCATATACATTAGGCATGGAATTACTAGAATTAGCTATGAAAACAGTATAACTATGTTATACTGCCTCACATTTCTGTGGCCAGCAGCAGATCCAGAGACAGTGTATACTTGCCTTATGGTACATTTTTACACTACGACAACATGATTGTGTGTTTGAATTCTCAAGCCATTGCCTGAATACTGGGCACTAATCCTTTGGCCAGTGAAAGAGTTCCCCATATTGAACAGCTCAATTCTGCCTTAGTAGCAATAGCTGAACTCAAATTTTCGAGGAATAATTAGTAGAAGTAAATCAGGCAAATACAAAGACCTAACAGATGTTTCTTCCACAGCAAAAACTTTATTTATTTTGGTGTAACCATCTTCTTAGCTGGAAACTGCAGAATTATTGCAGATCACAACCACATTTAGATTGCAGTGGATAAACTCTAGCCGTTATTGTTATCCCCATGCCTTTTGGGACTAAAGCATGATGCACTCTCAAAATAGAAAAAAGACTTGGAAGTCTTCCTGCCTTAGCTGAAAATTCTTAGAATAAGTAGATGGTGACTGGCTAGATGAGATGTAATTTGTGCCTTGTGAGGACAAACCATAGTTCTTCATACATCAGCCATATAAGAAGATATGTTCTATCACCTGGTACCTAATCCATCCACTTTTCCTCAGAAAATAAAATTGGAAGATGTTGATTAAGGAAAGAGAGGAGATGTTTTACTCTGCAGCCTGTTCTGACATTAATTAGGAATTCATCAGTAAGACCACCAGAAAGAGTTTCAAGTTTGTAGGCTGCCTGGAATACTTAAGGCATCCAATCATTTTCTAGTTAAAATGCACCCTGGGAGCACGTATGTTGATTGTTGGGGTTTTACCTCTGCTCATGACTGCCAAGATGACCATGTGTTGCTATAAAAATATAAATTGCTACCAGTGGCAGGTAGAAGGGTTTTGTAGCAAAACCTTCCATCTGGCTGAGTTACACAAGAGCTCAGTGATACTGACAATATTAGTGTGTGTAAGTCTCTACTCTTGCTTGCTTCTTGCCTGGTTTTAATTTTCATGTTTTGTGCTTAATCACCTAAAAAAGGTGATCAGTGAAAAAAGAAAGGCAATAAGCCTCAGTATTGAAGGAATTCTACCACAACTGACCATTTGTCACATCATTATGCTGCAAAAATCAGCTTTTGCGATGCTGATCATATAAATTCTGTGCCATTAATCATTTTCAGTCTAAAAGCATAGCCTTCAATTTGAGAAAACCTGCTCTCAGAACTCCTCTATTTACTCAGCCTTTGAGGGACAAAAAATGTGTGATAAGGGCTGATTTACTCCGTGCTGGTCTGTAATACAACATTAATAAAGAAACTCTCAAATATCAAATATAGATGAATATTTTTTTTCTAACATTTAGACTTCAGTTTCCCCCCCCAAAAAAAACCAAACAAAAAGTAAACAACATCAAAACTATAAACCCGCACATCAAGCTAAAATTACGTTTTTCAGGCAAGTTTGGTTTTGACTGTACTAACATCCTCTTCTCCTATATGTTTCTTCCCACCTCTAATTAACCAGCTGGAAAGAATCCCACTGCCACCCCTAAAGAGGCTTTGAAAGGCTATTAGTGCACTGGACGTACTGTGTAACAAACTTTGTTTCCTCCTAGCAAATTGTAAAAGTGTCAGTATACAAGGAGGTGTGTACTGAAGGCATATTTCAGGTGGGCTCTTTATAGAACATGCCCTATCTTTTCTTTTAATCTCAGGAAATTATAAGGTCAGCGGGTCCATGCTGGCTTCTGCAGATAGGAATGAATTGGTAGTCAGTGCTCTGGAGATTTTCCAGGTCTTTTTATATCAAGAGTGTGACCTTACACTGTGAGAAACACAAATGAGAGGAAAAGATAGTGGGAGAGCCTTATAGTAACAGCTAGCTGCATCCTGCTTTTACAGACCTGGTTTACCTCTGCACATACATGGAAGTATTTTATTTTATTGAATATCACAGAAAGGAAAACAGAAATAAAAGAACATTGTGTTGCTTTATCTTACTCTGTATCTCCTAGCTGTTCCTCCTTTTATATCATCTGTTTTGTTTACAGATGATAATAACTAGGGATAAAGACTAAAAGTTATTAAAAAATGCAAATGTAGCATACATTTTACCTTAGAAGCTTTAGAGGGAAGTTATGCATGAGTGTGTCTTCGACACTGTCAAACAAAACTGCCTGAGAAATGTTAGGTACAAACTGAACTTTGAATGAATAGTTGCTGGGAAAGCAGTTAAATTTTACTCATTGTTATCAATAGGAAAACTTTAATTTCTGGTAATGTGAAAATCTATCTCCTTCATTACTAAATTATAAAAGCAGGTAACAGTGTATGTTTTTACATAAGCATTTAATGTTCTTTTACCATAGGTCAGAAAAAAAATTGAGACTTGGTCCATAATGAAGTTCTGTCAATGCCAGAAATTTGCTGTAGGGTCTTCCAGTGATGGATATAAAACTATTGCAATTGATGTGAGGCCTGTTCTGCTCACCCAGTTTTGCCTGCTCTTTTTTGATCTGTTGAGTCATTATGGCCATAGGAATGATGCACAGCAACAAAGCAGTATGTTAAAACTAGAAATTGAGTGGTCTCATCGTGGCTCTTAAGGCAATGGGAAACTTTCCTGTTTGTTTTACCCTGGCATCATTTTCCCCCCATTGTCTGACAGTAACCAATTAAATGTTTTGATAGTGCACTGAGCAGGTGTCTGAAATCAAAAGAAGTGTCACACTCAAAAAGGCATCATTTTCCCAACTGGGTACATTTCACTATGATCTCTGACCTCCGTATTGGTGTCCTTTTGTTACAGGCGCTGCGTGTGTTGAGCTGTGATTACAAGATGGAAAATGAAACTAGAATGGTGCTTTGTGATCTTGGGAACCCCATGGCGGCTGGTGCAAACGTAAGGGAAAACCAAAGGCATTTACTGATTTTTATCTAATTGAATTTTAAAGGAGAGTAAATGGAAATCTACTCAGTTAACAAGAATGTGTCTGAATAAGCAGCACGTAAACCAAATTATTGGTGTGATAAGAGAACTGTGCTTCTGAAAACTAGCAATTTGTTGTTCTAAAAGATTAATGATGCTAGAGCCTGTGTTTTATTTCACTTATGGTGAAGAAAATGAGATTGACTTGAGTCACGGAAGTTGCACTAATATGAGAATCCCAATCCATAATGTGATGTGTTTATTTCTTCCTTTTACTATTCTTTCTACTTAATATAATGTATAGTAAATTCCAGCTTCTTTATCCTGATTCTCATCTTGAGAGCATAAGGGTTGTCTTATCAATTTATATTATGATTTCTATCCATAAAAATGTGGTTGGAATTAAGTTTTCATTGAAATTATTAATGTCATTCTAAATGTTTTCCTAAGACAGCTACTGACAAACAATACTATACATTGGATGGATCATTAGTAGCTTTTTTTTTAGAAAAAGTGAGACTGAATAGTGGTTGACGATGGACCGGAGATAAGGATTCAACATAAGATTTTGACATAAAAAAAGTGCTACCCATTCCATAATTGTCGTCACTTGTCCCTATTTCATGACAAATCAGTTCAGGGCAATCCCAGAAGTGTTGAACCTAGGAATGTCTGGCCATGAATGCCCTTCCAGAAGAATTCTAGTGCTGCTTATAAATTCATAAATGCTATGAATATTTAACAAAAAAACCCAATAATCCAAACTTTTATACCTAGATAAAAAGCTGTCATAATAGAAACCAAGCAGTCAACAGCATGAACATATATGAAGAATAAGCGACACCTTTTAATTGAAACCTACTACTGTATTTATTTCATATTGAATCTGAGGCTTTGCAAAAAGAAAACAAAGCAAATCTCTTTAGTATTTTCAGAATCCCTACTAAGTTAAAGTTTGGCTTATGGAAGATCAACATCTAAATCTTCAGACTCCATATAGTGGGGTGTTTTTCTGGCGTCTTTTAATCTGGGAGCAGGTCCTGTCTGGCCCTTGAGAAAGGAAACAAATGGATCATATAATAGGAGGCTGGACTAGAATAAGCTTGTTTGGATCATAGGGTTAGCTTCAGATCAGCCATAGAGCTTCTGAAAGTGTATGTGAGACCAGATATCTTATACAGTTGTCTTCTTTCATGGTCATGACCATAAGTCTCATTCGTAGATAAACTTTTTTTGAATTACAAGGGGCAGGAAAACATTGCAAAATTAACTCCAGGGCATGGACCTACTCGAAATGGGAACCTGCCTGGTGAGGATCCTTCTCTGTAGAGCTACATTGAACTAGGAGTCTGAAGGGGGTACCGTAAACATTTTCTGAGAAGGACGTAGGGAAGAGAACTAAAAGATTTTGTAGTTTTTGTTTTATTCTACTAAATGAAGCTCCTAAAAAGTAATTGAAAACATTTCTAAATGGAATTTTCATAATGATGTGATGGAAAGCAATGGTGGGCTGAAACACTAGATAAATTCCAAGTCAAGGCAGATAATTTCTTGTACCAGAAAACCCACAAATTTAGATATCTGCTAAGTGATTTCCTCGTTAGTCTCATGGCTAAATAAAACTCTCAAGATGCAGTTGGAAGTGAGCAAGAATCTTGTGGATGATTGGGATGCAGTGACGATGAGAAGGACAACATAAAACCCCATGGGTTTGGAAGAGAAAAGGAAGACTAAACACGAGATACACTAATACTGTATACCAAGCTAGGAGCAAATCTTTGTGGTTTGCATGTTGTCATAAACATAAGCAATGGAAAGGTCTAAGCGTGGAGGTATTAGATTACAGTCTCTCAAGCTCATCCCTTTGAATCTAAAGTCCCATTCCACATCATCCTTGATCCAAAATGCTAGCAATGTGAAGACTTCAGGAATGCTGTTTGGTGACCACTAAAGCAGTACTACTCCCACCTGTCTCCTTATGGATTCTCACAGCATAACTTATCTTGTTTTCTTGAGAATCGGCTTGAGGGCTGCCGTAAATATACTGTTACCAAATATTTCTAAGCAAAACGCTTTGTATAGAGAGGCTTAGAAGTAGCAGAATAAAACAGCAGCATTCATACTATGTTTAAAGGTATTCTGGCTTGGAAGAGAAGAACCCAACCCTTGAAAATTAAGCCATATGAAGATAGAGCATCACAAAGCCAGATGGCAAAAACAAGCCTAGCTTTATCTTTGAAACCAGCTCTTCTGGAAACTTAGCAAAGGTGAAAGGACTTGAGCTTTTTTCAGTCCAAACATATTTATGATGGCAAACGTACTTCCAAAAGCGAAATACCAGCCCTTTCTCCAAATTGCATAAATCACACAAGTTTGCTCTGATCCATTTCCAATTTTGCAAAACAATTCTACTCTGGCGGGAGATCAGTTATTCTCAAAACATTTGGTCAGAAAGGGACTCTGTGGAAGTTGTGAGGGAGTGGGAAGGAAGGGTTAGGTCACAAGCAAACATTCCTAAAACTCTTAACTATTGAGTCACTGTAATGACTTTTCGGCACCCTGAAATCCTAGAATTCTTGAACTCTGTAAGATCAACTTCAGAGTGTCAGGGCTATGTCAGAATTTTTTGTGATACAACCCATGGGATATTACCACAGTGGGCTACAGAGTTGTCTGACACTTCATATCTTCAAAATGCATTACTGTCATCAAAATTGGTTTATCGCTAACTTTTTTGAAGATCTGTGACCTTAAAATAATTTTCTGACCCCCAAAATTATTTAATCTTTCCAGTAGTATCTTTGTGGTTTAAAAAAGATGAAAAAGTAAAAAAGAAGATTAAAAGAAATGGAAAGGAAAATCACGATACCATATGACCCAGAATGCAAACTAGATGTCTGTGATACCATCTCCCTAGCAAAGAGTGCTCAAAGTACTTATTTATGACACTGAAATGGATCGGACTGATGAGCTTCCTAATGCCTGTTCAGCGGCCTTAGCAAGTCAGATTCAGGTTGTATTATAAATTCTCTTAGAACAATTTGGGCATTAATAGAAATGAAGTTAGAAGACATGGAGACTTGGAAGATCTCGCCTATTTCTTGGTATGTACTGAACTGATTCTTCAAGAGTGTTGAGGTTTTTTCATGCATATGCACTGTAGGACAGTTCAAAAAAAGCTAGTGCTCTGTGTTTCAGCATGCTCGTAGATCCTGACAAACATAATAACAGATTAAAGCTTATCAATAATAGCAGAAATGTCATGCATTTCAAAGATACATGATGGTGCTAACATGGAAAATAATGCAATTTTAATTAAACTAACTTCACCTGGATTTTTTTTAATGAACTGTTCTGATACAGTGAATGTCTTAAGTAAGGAGGTTGAGATATTGCTAAATTGCAAGCTCAAGCAAATTCAACTCTTTTGGACTCAGTGAGTTTTCAGCAAGGGCATGCAAGCATCTTTGCCCCATTATTGGTAGCAGTGTCAAGGGCTACATGACATTAACAAAGTCATGCGACTATACAAAGGCAACATCTGCAGCTTATTAGACAGTAGGAGTGTGTTTCAGTATTAAATAAGGGATTAAGCCTCAGGGGTATAATAGATCATCAAAACTGCAATTCACCGCTGCTCTGTCTGAAGAAAATTTTATCTTTGGTTCATCAGATCTTTTTTCTGCTGTAAATGGAAGCAAATTTATGTAGACTGATTAGTAAAAACAGTAAGACAAATGCTGAATTGAATATTTGGAAATTCTTGTCTCAGAGATTAAAAAAATTGGTATGTTTTTAAAAGTGAATGAAATATCAATACAGTTGTTAAAATCATTCCCCAAAAGTGGTCTTAAAGTAGCTTACATCTCTATTCCAAGTCAGCTATTCAGCTTCTGTTTAATGAGCTTATTTATCTTTTCATCTTAAAAGTTTTAACTTCCAAAAAGAGAGATTGGCTGTGACATTAAAATCATCAGAATTCAAAGATTGGAACTTGCCATTTCTTTTGTGATGACAATATTGCTTTCAGCATAGGCCAACTGTAAGAAGTAATTGGAACATATTAGCTAAGTCTTGTTCTGGAGATAGATTAAGATTCAGTGATGTACTGCTGCAAGTGGGAAGGAAGGAGAATTGAATGAAAATTTTTTTTTAAAGTAAAGCTTAGGAAAAAGGAGTTGCTTAAACAACTGAAATGACACCAATAGAAGAAAATACCTCCTCTTCAGAGGTGTTGAATAAAGGCCCCAAACATAAAATTCTGCGTTGTTGTGCCCTGTCTCGATGCTGACAGTACTACCCTGTGTTAAGGAAAATATGCCAAGCAGACAGCTCCTCCTCCGCTGCCCCATAATATAGTCAAGTATTGGCAGAGATGAAGGAATGATATCCTCATTTCCTAATGCCTTTTGATTAATTTCTCAGGAAGATTGTTTCTCCACATGGAGAATACGGTTGTATGTAGCCATCCTTTAAAAAAATTAAAGCACAGTGTGCAGGAAATTCTATGATCAGGCAATAAGGGAGATAGTGGGGACTGAGAAACTGTACAAGATTACAGGTTGTAGACTTCACTGTCAGTCTCAATGCAAAATTCACATTTCAAAAAGTATCAGATTTAAAACGTGCAGTTGAAATGAGGCAATTAAAAGCATTAATTTAAACACTGCAGTACAATGTAATTAACTTAACATGGAGGCTAGATGGCATCTTCCCCTGCTCCCCTGCCACTTATGAACTGGGGCTGTAAATATGTTCAGCAAGAGGATTACAGAGACTGCACCATGTGCTGTTGTATATTCCTTCTTCAGTTAGCCCTGCAATTCCATTCTTTCTTCTGAATTAACTTGTTCTTCTTTACTCTGTGCTCGTCTTGCAAAGTAAATAGACATTATTGGAGGGAGGAAGCAAGGTCTGCACAAACACAAGGGAGTGCCAGTGGAAGCCCCTATCTCCTTCAGTTTTGGAAAGTGTGTGTTTTACCCTCTATCTTCTGTGATCACGCACTGCAAGCTGTGGCAAACTGAACTGCAAATACTACTTTGAAGTTGTATTTCTCTTAACTGAACTGCAGTGAAAAAACTCAAACCAAATCAAACTAAAACATCGAGCTACTGTTAATTTAGCCTGTAGAAGAAAAACAGGTGATCAGTCAGCCCAGCAACACCTGAAGCATGCAGCTCGTATGTCACAGTTACAGAGAGAAGGAGAGGAGCAGGAAGCCCTGGAGACCTGGACAACAGCATGCATGGATGAAGGCAGGGATCAGAGATGCCAGACAGCTTTTATTTTCTTTTGGCTTGGCAAAAGATGAGGAAGGATGAGGAAGGGCCCACCGCTGTGTTCTTGGGAGTATGCTTCTCTGTTCCTCTTGTTCTTTTCCCTGTCTAGCCAAGTTTTCCATCTGGTGACATACACAAGCAGGATGGTATTTTTTTTCCTGAAAACAACTAGATGATACTATTTCATACTTATTTTTAAAAGCAACAGTATTCTATACATGTTTGTGAAATGCAATGTTGACCAGTACTGTTTTCCTGATATGGAGAGATCAGCTATGTTTAGTAACCCATTCTTTTGTTTCATTCTCAGTTCTCTACAGGCATTCGATTTTCTGTTCAGCATTTTGAAAATGCAGATTTCAGCATCAATTTTGAGCTGCAAATAAAAAGGTTAGATGTTTTATGAACAGTATGATTATTTAAATTCTGAATTCCTACTGATATTTGAAGTCTTGTATATGAGAAGGTCACTCTGACTCTTCAGTGTCAGTAGTAATTTAATGGGTTTTGCTACAGTAGCTTTCTTCAGTGGGGGCTGTGGAATTGGAACCTTGTTAGTTTTTAGCAAAATCAGTCTTAGACTTGTTCTGAAGATTGTGTTGTGTTAAAATTCAGGTCAGTGATCCAAAGATCTTCTACAGATTTGCCAAATTTGCACTTCATTTTTCACTTCAGAATTAATGAACAGTGATCACTTTTTAACAAAGTTCTATATTTAAAAACATATCATGCTCTGAAAAAAAAAAAGACATACCTCTTTTTCACAACAACTTAGAAGGATAGCATTTAAAATCTGCTCAACAGATTTACTAGCCTGAAGAGAGAAAACTGTTTCAGTCTGATGCAGGTGAACCTTTGTCCTCTTTCCATTAATTTCCTACGAATTTGTGGGGCTGAAATATTACTGCTGGAGAATCTTCTGGTTTATACTGAGCAATACTTCCTCCACAGGGACAAAAAACCACAGGATGGGCTGGGTTAGGATAACAGCAAGGACAAACTTTTTTCAGTAGGTGGCAGGGCTTCTGATCCATCTGCTCGTCAAATACAGACCAGAGTTCCTGATGGGACCTTCCCTGCTCCCCACAGAAAGACTTAATTGATAATGTCTGGCCTTTAATGAGGGCCTTGATCATGTTCACTGTGGTAAATAACTGAGACATTTAAAACATTTAAGTCATGTTTCCATAGTGTAACCCTTGAAGGAAAAGGACATGCAGGTAGTCAGGAAGGGCGCAGCAGAGCCACAGAAGACAGTGAGGTGCCTGGTCAGACCTAAGCCATCTTCCATGGATCTGGCTGGTGAGCAGGAGATCCTGCAAATCTAGAAATGGGCCCCTCCAGAGAGAAATACAAGATATAGTATCCTTCATATATAGATTGCTTTTGTAGAAGAAGTGACAATGCTTTACTGATGAGTAAGTCTGAACTTCAGGAGACAGCAACAACTCCTTCCTCCATGAGTGTGATTCACTAAAATGTAAGGGAGGAAATGTGTTGGGCTACCCAAAAACTACAGTTTTCATAAACAGTGGAAACTTTGACAAGTGGAGTCCCTCAGGAATCAGTACTGGGACTGGTGCTGTATGATGTCTTTGTCGACAATGTGGACACTGGGATAGAGTGCACCCTCAGCAAGTTTGCTGATGACACCAAGCTGTGTGGTGTGCTTTGACATGCTGAAGGGAAAGGATGCCATCCAGAGGGACCTTGACAGGCTGGAGAGGTGGGCTCATGCCAAACTCATGAAGTTCAACAAGGCCAAGTGCACAGTCCTGCACTTGGGTCATGGCAATCCCAAGCATAAATCCAGGCTGGGGAATTTGTAGATTGGGAGCAGCCCTGCAGAGAAGGACTAGGAGGTGCTGGTTGATGAAGTGCATAACATGAACTGGCAACGTGCATTGGCAGCCCAAAAAGCCAACCATGTCCTGGGCTGCGTCAAAAGATGTGTGGCCAGCAGGTCAAGGGAAGTAATTCTGCCCTTCTGCTCTGGTCTGGTGAGACTCCACCTGGAGTACTGTGTCCAGCTCTGGAGCTCCCAGCACAAGATGGACGTGGACCTGTTGGAGGGTCCAGAGAAGGGCCACAAAGATGATCAGAGGGCTGGAGCACCTCTTCTATGAGGACAGGCTGAAGGAATTGGGTCTGTTCAGCCTGGAGAAGAGAAGGCTCCGGGGAGACCTTATAGTAGCCTTCCAGTACCTGAAGGGGGCCTACGGGAAAGCTGGGGAGGGACTTCTTTTAAGCGCATGTGGTGACAAAGGGCAAGAGTTTTAAACTACAGCAGAGTCGATATAAATTAGGCATAAGGAGGAAGTTCTTTACTACAAGGGTGATGAGACACCGGAACAGGTTGCCCAGAGAAGCTGTGGATGCCCCATCCCTGGAAGTGTCCAAGGCCAGCCTAGAGGAGACTTTGAGCAACCTGCTCTAGAGGGGAGGTGTCCCTGCCAATGGCAGGGGGGTTGGACTAGATGATCTTTAGGGTCCCTTCCAACTCAAGCCATCCTATGATTCTATGATTAAAATGCTGAAGAGCACCCAACTACTTTAAAAAAAAAAAAAGTAAAACTTCTTGCATAGGGAATGTGCCTTACAGTTAAAACTCACTGTTTTCTGCATTCATTCTCAAGCAGCATTACAGTTTGTCCATTTCTGTGCCCTTAATTAACAGGTAAAACAATTTTAAAAGAAAAAGGAAACAGAAATCTATAAGGCAGAAAGAGAAAATTGCCTAAATGAAAGGAAGGGGAAGCAGAGAACGTGTCTGAATCTGTGTCCTGGTCTGAGTTATTCAAAGGAGACCATTAATTTACTCCAAAACATCAAGTGGAAAATAAGTATTTTGGTTTGCAAGTCTGAAGTTCCTACTTACAGGAAATAAGCAAGAGGCTGACTGAGTAGTGTCTTGAAATATGATTCCTTTTTTCCATGTGGATTTTGATAGGCAATTATATACACCTTAGAGAGGGAGATGGCCTAGAACTTTTATTTAAACTTTTTCTTCTCTATAAAATTATGTAAAGCATAAACAAGATTTGAATACCAAATATATACAATTCAAATCTGTATTTGTATGGAAAGTAGAACCATTATACAAACTGGAGAACAATTTATTCTAACAAGTTAGTGGTGTAATCATTTTTATACTTTAAGCAATTTTTGTACTTCTGTACTCAAAACAGTGGCTATAGAAGATTACATCAGAAGTTTGAATTATATTTGAAGGAAATCTGCATTAGTTTACAAGCAAATTAGAGCTGCTTCTAATTTTAGCAATCTGTAACCAGAAAGCCTGGATCAAAGTGGTTCTTGCACTTTGGCCACAAGAACCCTCAGCAGCGCTACAGGCCTGGGGAGGAGTGGCTGGAGAGCTGCCAGGCAGAGGGACCTGGGGGTGTTGATGGACAGCCGGCTGAACATGAGCCAGCAGTGTGCCCAGAAGGATGCGAACGGCATCCTGGCCTGGATCAGGAATGGTGTTGTCAGCGGGAGGAGGGAGGGGATCATGCCTTTGTACTCAGCTTTGGTGAGGCCTCACCTTGAGTACTGTGTCCAGTTTTGGGCCCCTCACTACAAGAGGGACATCGAGGTGCTGGAGAGGGTACAGAGGCGGGCTGCCAAGCTAGTAAAGGGTTTGGAGCATGTGTCGTATGAGGAATGGCTGGTGGATCTGGGGTCATTCAGGCTGGAGGAGACTGAGGGGAGACCTTGTCACTCTCTACAACTACCTGAAAGGAGGTTGTACAGAGGTGGGGGTTGGTCTGTTCTCCCCAGTGGCGAGTGATAGGACAAGGGGAAATGGCCTTAAGTTACACCAGGGGAGGTTCAGGTTGGATTTTAGGAAGAATTTCTTTACTGAAAGGGTTGTCAGCCATTGGAACAGCCTGCCCAGGGAGGTGGTTGTCACCATCCCCGGAGGCGTTTAAGAGATGGGTAGATGTTGTGCTGACGGATGTGGTTTAGTGGTGTTGATAGGGCAAGGAAAAGGTTCGTCTCTTCCAACCAAAACTGTTCTGTGATTCCATGATTCTGTGAAAGCAGTATTACCCTTTACTTCTCAGGAGTCAGTTGCTGGGAATGCTGGCCCCCTCTGATTGTTTCCATTTGACTGATTCTACCCAGATGTGATAACAGTAAACTGACAGTAATAGAAACAGTCTCCATGAAGCAAGGAAGTACTTCCACACTTGCCTGGAAAAAAAACACGACTAATTTAGTATCATTAATCCCATAATTAAATGAATTTGAAGTCTGTTGTCATTTATTTTCACTATCTTCTTGAATTTGAATCTGCAAACTTTTTTTTTGTCTGAATGGAATATGGTCTTGGGGATGGCCTTTTGAAGTAAGAGGAACTGTACTTATTACTAAGGGTTTCCAATAAGAAAAGACAATAAAATAAGTGAGAGCACTAGGCTTTAAACACATCTAAGTGGGAGTAGTAGCATGAACGTTCTCTGGATAGGGAAGGGGAGAAAATAAAGATACAATTTGTTTTGGTTCTTTTTCTTCCAAGACTGTCATACAGAAGTCACAAGTTTGGAGACTCATAAAAGCAAATTTTATTATAACAAACCCTATCTTATTCAATAGCACTGCCTTCCTTCAATGCATGAAACACTTCTATATTCTCTTAAGATGCTCCTATCCGTACAAATAGCCAAGTCAAACAAGGAAATTTACAGGATATTCTGAGCTAAATAAATTTCTCCCATCGTATTAATGCATAGGATTCTTTAAAGGAAGCTTGAGTTGATTATATTGTTAAGCATATGATGAGCTCAAATAATATCAAACTTAAATACTAATGTTCTACAAGACTGCAGAGTGGCGATAGCAAGTCCACACAGTAATCTGTCCAATGGCATCACTTCCTAATTATAGGCTTTGTGGTATTCAGTGCTTTATCTGTAACAGTCTAGAATTCTGCTAAATAACCCTTTTTAACCCTTGTACATATCTTTTCCAGTTCTAACAAGATTAATGCCACCAGCAATTTAGTGAACCTCCATATCAACATTAGTGCTGTAACTCAAGTACAAATCAGAGGGTAAGTATCCAGCTATTTCAACTGACGATGATAACTACTTTTTTTTGAAACTTTCCACATATAACGATTGCATGTAGTCAATCTCTTGACATATTATAATCCCGAACACCTGAGAAGTCCCAGGGAGTTTCACACCTGCCAGCCTTATGGAATGGAGCTACTAAGGACTTACCAGATCATGTAAGACAGGACTGCCCAGGGGACTCTAGTAAACTTCCTGAATGTCTGTGCAAGTGCAGCACAACGTAGAATCTCATATAGTAGTAACACTAGTCAGAGCCAACATTTTATTTGGGCATTCAAGTTTTGTATGGGTCTTACTGGTAGGAAATGCCCATTTATATGTGTAGGTCTGCTTGTGCAACCACTTAGGCACTTAATTCTGAATATTAAAGCAGAATCTGCTGCTTACGACTGGAAAGACAAAAGACATTGCAGCAAGGCATGTACTGATATAGAGCAGAGTGAGGCCTTTGGAGAAGGGGTGAATAAGGGTTGAGCTAAGACAAGACGTCAGTCAGTTACTACTGTAGGATTCTTATATTTCCATATGAAGCAAGTGACTCTCTGCTGACACAAGGGATACCGAAACTACACAAATGTAGAATATTATCAAAGATGATTATTTCTCTCTCTCGGTTTCAGAAACTATAAAATGCAATTAGGTGATAAGAATCTCAGACTACCCTGTAAAATCTTAGAACTAGACTCCTATACTGGCATCCTGGAGAAATTTGGCAAGCTATTCTTTTAAAGCATAAAATTGTCAAAAATGCTTCTGTCTTGGATCTCAGATTTCCTATATCTCCTCTTCTCAAACTACAGCTCTGGATCTTAATGATTCTCAGCTCTGCAAGAGGAGAACAGGAGTTAATGGTGCAGCTTCATGCTCATAGTCAGACCATGAGGCCTGGCTGATGCAAGAGGGGCAGATGTCTCTTATGTGGTGCACCTCAAGGGACTGCCTTAGGTGTAAACAAATGATAATATATGCATTTATGGTTTTATGGATTTATAAAAATTAATTTATTGTTATCACTTCTAAGTTGATGCTTAGTGCATGCTGCCTAGTGCCAGCAGAGTCCAGTCCTTTTGCAGATCACAGAGATTGTGGTTTTTGCTCTAATATGCAGTCTAAATCTGGGAGATTGTTAAAGTGTTTTTCATCATATTTTCTAAGTGTTTTCCAGATTAAGAAGAATAACCTTAAGGCTAGAGTTAGATGAACAAAGAGAACTGGCATTCAAAGACTGCATGGATATATGTTAATGCTTGCATTTCTGAAAAGGAGCAACTGAAGGACAACATGTTCAGCAAGAACTGAAATGAGAATATTACTTAGTATTCGGTAGTTAGTGGTGATCTAGAGAAGTGAACTGGTTAGGAAGAGAGCTGAAAAATACAAATTGAGGTGGAGGGTAACACAGAAAGGGAAATAGAGGCTGAGGAAATAAAAATCAAAGGGGTTAGCTGGTGGGCTGCAGATGTCTGAGAAACTGGTAGATGTTGCATGGGTGGACACCCATGGATACATAAGCGAGTCTTTTCCATTAGGGCTCCTTCCAGTGCTATGGATACTGTTTTATTTCACTTTCATAGACAAATCTTACAAACTTCTTGTATTCTTTGCAACCTTTCTGGAAACCTTTTGCCTCCACCATGTTCTTTCTATGCCATAGTGTATTCTTTTTAATGAGAAGTTCTGTAACATTGAAATAGATGGACACTGAGAAATTACCAAAACATCCTCAGTTCTTAAAAAAGAGCATGCCCACAAGTGGGAATAGTGGCATGAGTTGCTGCCTGCAGTGCTAAGAAACAAGTCATTAAATACAGAGGAATTACTTAACTGAATGACTTCCAGTTGCTTTCATCTTAAGTCTGGTTTTTTTATTAGCTATAGCATGCATGTACAAAGGAAAATTCTCAGATGCTTTGTTAACATATTTTGCTAATTACTCAGAAATTCTAAAGCATACAGCTCCAAGGGAACTATTTGCTCACAATTTCCTAGATAAAAATAAAGCAAAGACTGTGTCCACATTTGGATTGGAAAATATCATGTATTGGTTTCCCTACTGCTCTGCAATGAAGTGGGACTGGAATCTTTGTACATTTTCCTGAGAAAAAAGTAAGTAGTTATCAAACTGTGCATATGCATACATGCATATATACTTGCACAGTGAACCCATGCAAATATCACCTCTATGAGAAAGGAAGAAATCTTCTTCCATATCCTATTCAAAAGCTATTTAAGATAACTCCTTAGGTAATTTAATGAGCAGTTGCTCTGATAACTAATTTGATTATTACTTTTTTTATATTAAAATATTGGAGTTTTATAGATGTAATTGTTATTTCCCACTGCTGAAATAGCAGTAGAGGAATGAAGGATTCAGGAAGGAAGTAATCTGGACTGGGAGAATTTCAGCTGGCAGAACTCTTATTTTATGTCTTACATAAGCATTTTTTGTGGAACATACTGCTTTTATCTTATTTTTCAGTGCTCTTGTTTGACGGATCATTCTCACCTAAAAGTCTAGGAAAAATCTTTGTCTAATAAATTATTTGAATCTTAAAAATATTCTCAGCTAAATGCAAAAAGAAAAGTTAAAAGAGATTTTTTTTAATTTGACCTCATTTTGCTTATTTCATGTCAGCAACAGAAGTCCTCAAAATAACTGTAAAATCTCTTAAAATAGAAGTTCTTATATGCTTTATAATTGTTTTAACTGAATGTCTGCATTTACACATTGCACTTTAATTCCATGGATGAGAAAAGTACTGCACAGGAAGTGTACCAGAAAACACTGGGATTTGAAATCTCATGCCTCCTTGTTGTCTGTGTACAGTTTCTGGCTTGTAAATTTTTGTGGTAGCTTAAGGGTCTTTGTCTTGGATTTTTTAACAATGCAGGAAAGTTCCTATTCTTGAACAGCAAATGATAAGCCATTTGTAAAACAGAACAAGTTAGACTAAGTACCTCATATGAAATGCCTTTTAACTTCATAGGTTTCCTTTCTGTTATTATTTGGTTTTGCTTGTAAATTTGTGCTCTGGCATACTTGTTAGCACAAACTGCTAGCCTTTTGAAGTGTGGGGAGGTATTCAGAGTTAGCAGGGTACTCCAGGATACCCTAAATTTCGTGAAGAGTTATACTTTAACTGGATGGCATTGTTTTCCTTCTCTGGGATCCCTTGTTTCTTTGAGAAGCTGTGCTCTGTAGAAAAGCTTCTGTCAAACATTTCATTCATTGTACATGTCATAAGAGCTGGAAGCAAGAACAGTTTGTTTCTTTCTATTTTAAAATGCCAGCATTTGCAAAAATGTTCTCTTCTTCAAGGGCCAATCTGCAGTGGTGCTTCCTCTCTTCAGACTAAAGGGAAAGTGAATTAATGTGGATAGAAGTGTATCGTTTTAGTCAAATATTATATTCTGAAAAAAACCTCATTCACAACAGTTTTCTGTCAGCAAACTTTCAGCTTTGGCAGAATAAGCATTCAAATTTTACAACTTTAAGCTAAAGATTCTGGAATCTAGCAAAACTGAGCGATGACCCCTGTAAAGAAATGGTAACACCATTTTAGCACCAAGAGCGACTTTCAGTGCTAGCAGATGACAGAGTTCTGTGCCAGAACTCACCTGCCATGCTAAAAGACCTTCTTGGATTCTGGTTTCCCAACTTCAACTGAATAAGGTTAAAATTGGCATCTGAATGGGACCCGTCTAAGGAACTTTCAGTTTTTATGAGAAATACTTCTCATTCAAATAGAAATGTTAACAGAAGACTATTTAGTCTTCTGTTGAGTTCAGACAGAAAGGAAAGGAAACATAAAGTAGCAAGTGGAAGGAAAGATGTCAAATGTTGTCATTGTTTTCTTCATTTATGTTTGATTTACATGTTGCAAGTTGCAACGGTGTTTCAAGAAATGTCTTAGCTGACACTTCATTTGCAAAGCAAATGGAAAGCCTATTTCAGACTCTGTTCAGACACACTATTTCAGTCCTGAATTCAATTTCTTGATACACCAATTCCAGCTGACTTTGTGGAGGTCACAGTACCTCAGTTTCCCACCTGTAAAATGAGACAGACTACATTGCGAGGTTTTTGAAAGGAATAATAACAGAGTTTATAAGGAATTAACAGTCAGAGCAGTTAAATGTGCAATTGACTTGCAGGGAAGGAATATGCATGGCATTAAATATCTACCAGCTTTAAATGGAAATTAGAAAAAACATGTAGTTATGCATCATTACTCTAGTTCTGTGGACAATGTATTCAGATACCTCATCTGTGAGAATTACGTAAATGTCTGGCTGCATTCCTCTCTCCAAACGGAGGAGGAGTCCCTCCTTTGTCCAGAAAGGAGAGTCCATCAGAGGAATGCGCGCCCTCTGTAAGGATTTGATAGTGTTTTATGGAAGCAAGTGAGTTCACCTCACCTAATTCTAATAAATGTGCCCAAATAAAATTCCCTTAAGGGCTCAGATTTCTATAGTGGTCTTATTTTTTCATTTAAAAGCAATGCAGCTGATGACTGGTAAGAGTTGCTGTTTTAACCTATTTTATGTACTACAGAGTGTCTCACCCCCCAACAATTATTTTGCCACTTCACAACTGGGAACCCAAAGATGAACCGACAAAAGAGGAAGAACTTGGTCCTTTAGTAGAACACATCTATGAGGTAAAAATTACATATATATTGCCATAGGAACTCATGCTGCTCCAATTGCTTCAGGTGGCCAAGAAGGCCAATGGCATCCTGGCCTGTATCAGAAACAGTGTGACCAGCAGGAGTGGGGAGTGATCATGCCCCTGTACTCGGCACTTGTGAGACCTCACCTTGAGTACTGTGTCCAGTTTTGGTCACCACAGTACAAGAAGGACATCGAGGTGCTGGAGCGGGTGCAGAGAAGGGCAACAAGGCTTGTGAGAGGTCTGGAAAACATGACCTATGAAGAGCGGCTGAGGGAACTGGGTTTGTTTAGTCTGGAGAAGAGGAGGCTGAGAGGAGACCTTATTGCCCTCTACAACTACCTAAAAGGAGGTTGTAGCGAGGCTGGTGCTGGTCTCTTCTCTCAAATAAGTAATGATAGGACGAGGGGGAATGGCCTCAAGTTGCACCAGGGGAGGTTTAGATTAGATACTAGGAAGAAATTCGTCACTGAGAGGGTAGTTAGGCACTGGAACAGGCTGCCCAGGGAAGTGGTGGAGTCGCCATCCCTGGAGGTGTTTAAAGAGCTAATAGATATGGCGCTTGAGGATATGGTGTAGTGGTTAGAGAAATGCTGGGAAAAAGGTTGGACTTGATGACCCTGGAGGTCCTTTCCAACCATAATGATTCTGTGATTCTGTGATTCTGTGATTCTGTAATTGAAATGTTGATTAATTCACTTTATTGTCTTTATGTGCAACGAAAAAAAGCCACAAATGTATATATTCTGACATGACCAAAATTTAATCTGGGACTTCACAACCCTGATATTCATTTTAGTGCAGGACATATTAGTTGCTAAGAGTGTCTCTTTGATATTTAAGGGATGTGTAAACATTCTGAGTGTTTAACAAGAATTAAAAACAGTGCTTAAAAGCTCATTACAAACAATGCCAAATATTTTCAGTAATTTGACTGTTTTCTTATTAAAAGATGTGAGTGTTGTGCACAGGAAAAAATGTTTCCTTTAACATTTAGCTAACTGAAAAAAACTGTAGACACGTACCTTTTGACCTCATTGCTCAGAAAATATTCTGTTGAATACAGATCTTAGTGTTTGTTGTTTACATATTTCTACCTTGTATCATTGTTGGGTTTTCTCTATGGATGATTCATCACTTAAAGGAGACGAGTTCAGGTTAGAAAAAAGTGTGTTGAGTGAATAACACAGAATACAGGCCATCTTTGGAATCTGATGGATGACCTTTATTCTAGGGGTTAAAACATAGTGCTTCACATATGGTTTTACTTCACAAACTAGCACTAAAGCAAATATAAGCGAATGAGCTTAATCAGCAGTGTAAAATTACAATTTACATGACAAATGTTAACTATAATGAATCAGACTTTAAAATACAAAATAGTGTTTGTGAATTCCTCACCTTAACACATTTCTCTAAATCGATAAAACTGTAACATATCTTCCTGTCTGAAGCGTTTGGGCTGATTGTTGAACTATATATGTGACTTCAAATGTATTATAATAGTTGCAGTGAGTAAAGAAACTGCTTTTATGGTTATTGATATTAGCAAAGCATAAAACAAGGCCAAATGCCCACCCAAAAATCCTTTACTAAAGAAGACTGAAAGACTGAAAGTGTTTTATTTGGTTCTGAATAAAGCTCATGAAAAATTCTACACATTTAAAAAAAGGTTCTCACATCTCTAGAAACTTAGATTAACGCTCTCTGGTGTTCTGCTTCTTTGGCTTTCATGCCCAGTGTTAACACGTATCCAAACTTCCTGTGTTCATCAGACCTTTTCAAATTATAAACTAATATAAAAAACTATTTTAATAGCCCAGATTTTAAAATTTCTGTTATTTCTGTTATTTCTGTCTTTACACCTTTTGCCAGAAAAGAATAATGTCCTGGGATGTTATTCTGGGAAAACTAGTAGCTTTTTTTCTTTTGGGGAAATTTGCACTTTAAAGTGCTGGAAATAGAGTTCTTAACTAGTTTAAGCTCTGCTATACCTTCTCTTCCTGCGCCCACAAGAGAAATGTGATTCTCTTGTGTCCTGAAGCCTCAGCTACTATTTACAAGTATGTTTTGTTAAGGTTCATTGTATATATTTGCATAGTATATTCTGCTAATGTGTTTTGGTTTGGGTTTTTTATACCTTCTTAGGTAATTTCAGCTCTTTCGTGTGTTGGAAAAAAATGAGAAAAGTGATGGATTTCGTGAATACAGACTCAAACAAAAAAGGCTATTCTCCCAGATTTGCCACTGGCTTTGTGACTAACGTGATGAGGTCCTTATCCCCTACCTGCCACACATTCTCCGTCAATAAAATTATATTAATTATATATCTTTCCCAAAGTACTTCAAAGGGTGTGAACACAAAGAATTTGAAAATATCTAAGTGGTGGTTGCTTTGTTTTTTGTTATTATTTACTGTCTTGGAATATACTGATGACATTTGTTTGACAGCTGCACAATATAGGACCAAGTGCCATCAACAATACAACTCTCCGTGTCGGTTGGCCTGTGTCTAGTCGAGAAGAATTTCTTCTTTATATTCTTCATATTCAGACACACGGACCGTTGCACTGTCAAACAAGCTCTCCTATTAATACAATGCAAATAAAGGTAAGTCAGCCCCTTTTGTTTCCATCTGTACTGGGTTCAGCTAGGATAGGGTTAATTTTCACTGGAGGCTGGAAGCTGGGCATAGCCAGGGTAGCTGAACCAAACTAGCCACTAGCCAAGGGAATATTCGATGCTATCATAACGTCGTGCTCGGGGTATATAGGGGCTGCTGGTCGGGGCGGGGATCTCTCTCTTTTCCACCTCTCCGTCTGAGAGGTTGCGTCGCTGGGTTCCGGGTGGTGAGACGTCCGCATTACATATTACTGGCGTTATATCTGGTTAAACACTACTGTTATTTTGCTGTTACTGTTATCATTTATGTTTCATCATTAAAACAAACAACCCCACAAGGCTCTGCCTATTGCTCCTCCCGGGCTCTCCTCCTCACTCCTGGCAGGGGGGAAGCAAACGAGGAAGCGACCGCGTGGTTCCTTTGTCTTTCTGTGCGAGTCAGTCAGCTTGAACCACAACACCATCCTTGTCTGCATTTTGCTTGATTTTTTCTGCCTGCTCTTTACAATTGGATGGAGCTTTTGGGAAATTTTTGACAAGACCCTGAGATCATTTTCATGTATAAGAAGCAAGATAGAGATAGTCTACAATGTTTCTGATATGACAGTTGTGTTGCATGGTATGTGCTTGGTTTCTGCACTCAACAACATAAACTTGCATTTTGATTCAGTATCACAGCATTAGATACATGGTATTTTATTTAATGGAAATTTTCAGGGTTGTCCTTGAGGGCCATTTTTAACATGGTTTTGAATAGATGACACAAAACCTTTCAGTTCTCATGGGACCATGAAAATTCTTGTGACCTAAGGAGTACACTAATTCAGGAAGTCATCTGTACAGCAGTGCTTAGCAGGTGAACTCCCAAAGGTGATGTAAACCTTTGTTATGCCAAGGGATGCACATAGCTCTTCAGCTGGGTCTGATATAACCTGGCGCTGGTTTGTTTATCAAAAGGTTGTACATCTGAACTGTTAGCAATGTGGAAAATCCTTTATAGCACAATAATGCAACATAATTAAATTAAAAGCCATGAAGTTCTCCAAGCTGTTTGTTTAGTAGAGAGCAGGCACCACGTAGTGTAGCATTAAGTATTTTTAAAGGATGTAACACAACTTCAGCTTTTTATTCCAATACAAATAATTTACAGCTAATTTGTATGGTGATTTGGATTTTTAGGCTAATTCAGGTTGAAAGAGATCTCAGGAGTACTCTGTTCCAACATCCTGCTCAAGCAGGGTCAACAGTGAGACTGGACTGTTATATTCAGGGCTTTAGCCAGTCTGGTCTTTAAAACGCTCAAGGACAGAGACTGCAAAACCTCTCTGGGCAAATTCTGATGCTTCTTGATTGTCCTTGCAGGGAAAATGTGATCTGAACCTCTCTTGTTTCAGCTTATGCCCAGTACCTCTCACTATCTCACCCAGCACCTCTGTGAAAAGTCTGGTTCCATTTTTGTGATACCTTTCTCCCTCCAACCGCTTCAGTCCCCACAAAGCTTTCCAGTCTCTGGGCTGAACAAGCACTGGCTGCCCAGCCTCTCCCTTCAGGCCAAGTGCTCCACCCTTGAGCATCCCTGGCGGCCTCCACTGAACTCATTTCAGTATTTTGATCTATGTCTTCTGCTGAGGCTCCGAAAATGGATGTTGTATCAGCATGCAATCTTAACAAGCTCTGGGCAGAGCAGAGTAATCACATCCTCAATGTGCAGCCTTTGCTCCTCTTCATACAGCCCAGGGTGCTGTGGGCCCTCTCCACTGACAGGGCACACTGCTCCCTCGTGTGCAGCCTAGGCTGCTCCAGAGCTGCTGCTTAACCAGTCAGTCCTCTCAGTATCTTTTGTTGCCAGGGGCTATTTCCTTGCCCCAAGTGTATGATAAGATGCATATTTTTAATATCCTATGCTTTATACTATGGTTAAGTTCAACATAGTAAGAGGCAGAATAATCTGTAAAATGGGAGTCATTTTAGAAGCCTGTGCATTTTTTCACCTTTCTTTAAGTGTTAATGATCTTAATTTTTCAAAGAACATACTCTGAATATTCTATAAAGTGAAACTATCAGATGGAATTCTACATTGACTATACTCCAGAAATGAAGTTTTCCTGTATTGCAACTTGATAAAAGGATTCATGTAACCTACAATTATTTTATGGCTTAATCAATATTAACTCAGAAAAGTTACATTGTCAGCAGCATGACAGGGTTTGGGGTTTTCTACTTGGAAATGATTCTGTAATTATTTTAATCATACCAGCAAAAAGGAAGAAAAATCCCCTGCTAATGTTTTTCATAAGTAGTGTTCCTAGGTATTGTTTGCTGTCCAAATTGCTTCCCCTTCCATGGACATGGTTCTCACTTTATAGCAGAGCTGGAGATCACAGAGCTTGGAGGAAACGCTGACAAGGAGGAGCCTAGTAGCAGCCTCCTCAGTAAAATGTTGTTAATGCCTGTGTCTAAAAGCCTGTTTTAAGGTCTATGTCTGTGATGGCAGATCCCCCCAAAAGAGCTTGGTTTGGCTCAGAGTCAGACGATTTAGCAAAACACAGCTCTACATATTATCCCATCAAAACCAAGGTGTCCAATTTACTAAGCATAACTGATTCCAGACACTTCAGGAATAAACAACACTTTTCGAGTTCAACCAGTAGCCTTTTAAGTATCTTGTGGGAAGAGCTGTGTTCCAAATGCTAAAAGTGCTATACAGCTTTTGCATACCAGGAGGGGGTTGAGTTCAGTACAGTGGGTGAAAGTGGAGACATCTTTCTAATGAAGGGGATTGCTCACCGCCACAGGAGCTACAAGACAAGTCTTTTGCTTAAAGAGACAGAACTAGTGTATACTTAGAAGAATATAGAAAAACTGATGTGTAGCAAATACATTATGGCCGGGTTTTTGAGTTTCACCCAGGAAGCCAGTTCTGCCCTTTTATATAGTTTCTCCAGAGGAAGAAAAAGAAGATAAGTGATAGGGGACTGAAGATAGAAAATGTTTCGATTTTGTACCCAAGACATAGCAAGTTTGGAAACAAAATTTTTTTCTGTTGATCTTTTCTGCCTCATTTCCACCTTTTTTTCAAAAGCAATGAGAAGAAAGAAGCTGAGCTCCTGCATTTTTATTTGCAAGCCTAGCATCTCAAAGCTACTGGTGAGATCAAGTTGCAAAGTACATGAAAAGAAGTTCAGCATCCCCTCTCCCTAGTCACTGTATTCTGTTTTAAGATTCAGTTAGGAAGCTGAGATGGGAGCATTACTGTCAGGAGGGCAGAGCTCCTGGATAGAACAGTGCCACAGTTCTTAATGACATTTTCAGGCAATGTATATTTTGATGATTTTTTTTTAATTTGTGTTTTTTGTGTCTTCCTTATCCTACTGGATAATGATTGCATCTGTTACATAAGCAAGACTAAATTCTTGTGAGAACTCTAATAATGAAATCCTTTCCTTAATTTAGTTTTTCAAAGCTTTGAACAGCATAAATACACAACTCAGGTTTCAAACATATAATGCTTATCTGTTGCTTCAGGTGGGAAGAGGGTATAGAGACAGCTTCCTTCAGGTTTTGTATAAACAGCAAGATGCTTGGCTCAAATTGCTAAATAAGGCTAAGGACATTATATGCCTGTCTCCTCTTAGAATTCAGAATCTAGCTCTCTTAGGGTGCTGGGGCATTTCCCCTTTATTTACTTAGATTATTTACTTATATTGTTCAGTTTCTGTCAAAGCAATATATTCCTCCCCATTGATGAGCTTCTCATCTTGTAGAAGAGTTTCTTTCTGCTTTGTTCTTTCTTCCATAAAGGTAAATCAAAGCTGTGCATACATGAGAAGACTCTTATTTAGAGTCTTTTCTTTTTCTGTAGCTTATCCTTCTCTGAAGGCAGTGGGGGATGCGAAAGGATAATAAAGGTATGAATCCCGAAAAAGATTCCTCTTGAAAAAGAGGAGGAGAAGGACTAATCGAAGATGTGCAACAGATTCCCTTGCAGAAGAACTCAGTACACTAGGATGCCTCACTCTATGAAGGAGATGACTATGCACAAATATCCACAAGATCAGAAGTGGCAAGAAGAGCGTGGGTGGGGATTGACTGCTCTCTGCCTGTTCCCTCACAGGAATGCAGTGTGTTCACTGCACAGGAATTGGAGCATCAAATGAAGCCTGCAGAGCCAGATTCAAAACAAGCAAAAGGAAGTGGTGGTTCATGGTGACAGGTATTAGATGTCTGGAACTTGTTGCCAAAGGAAGTAGTCAGGGTTAAAAGTTTACATGGTTTTAAGAGGAAACTGGACAAATTCATGAAAGAGAAGTCCAGTGAAGATTAATATATGATCAAAAACTTCATGCAGATCAGGAAAGCATTTGGAAGCTGAAAGTTATTAGGAACATTGTGTAGATATGCATGCCGTGTTCTTACTTTTCCTCACACATCTGTTTAAATGCAGTGTTGCTGAGAAAAGGGCTCAGCTAGATGGACTTCTGGGCTGAGCCAGTATTTATGATGAGTTGTTATGTTTTTTCCCAGACTGATGGCAAAAAAGTAGCTTTGTGGACCCTATGCCTCTAAATGCCAGAGGTATAAGCAGTGATTTCCGACTATAGTAGACAGTACAGGGTGACACACTTGGCACATTCTCAATAGCTGGGCACTGTATTACCATAAGTGAGGTGTCTGTTGGGGAAGCAACGAAATAGCAGCTAAAATCCACCACAAGTAGGTAAGGTACATCCACTAACATGACTGGCAAGAGCTTCCTTAGGCAACACCTCGTTAATGCTGCAGAGTTGTTATTACTGTGTGTGAGTCCCAGTCTCGAGACAAAAATCACAGAATCGTGGAATGTGTTGGGCTGGAAGGGCCCATTAAAGGTCATCTAGTCCAATGCCTCTGCAGTGAGCAGGGACATCTTTAACCAGATCAGGTTGGTAGTATCATTCAATGCACTTCTCTTGAATGGTCACTGACACTTCTTTGCATAACAGCTTTTACAGAAAGTCCTCTTGCAGAACATTTCTGATGGAGTTACACATTTCAGCAGAGGGTGTTGCCTGGCTAGAAAAAGAGGAAATCTAAACAGGGTTTTGAAATGAGAAGTGAAGAACTAAAGAAATCTGGAAATCTGCTCAAGGTGACAAGGCTCAGGAGAAGAAAGCAGTACAATTTTCCCTGGTGGGAAAACCAACAAGTCCATTGTAGTTAAAGAGCGAGAGTAAGAATCCATTTAAAATAAAAGTATCACAGAATGACAGAATGTTAGGGAATGGAAAGGACCTTGAAAGATCATCTAGTCCAACTCCTCTGCCAAAGCAGGATCACCTACAGTAGGTCACACAGGAACACATCCAAGTGGGTTTTAAAAGTCTCCAGAGGAGACTCCACAACCCTTCCAGGCAGCCTGCTCTGGTGCTTTGTCAGTGCTGTCCGGTGCTCACAATGAAAAATATTTTCCTGATGTTTTTGTGGAACCTCCTATGCTGCAGCTTGCACCCATTGCCACTTGTCCTATCATTGGGCATCAGTGAGAAGAGCCTGGCTCCATCCTCCTGACACTCACCCTTGACATATTTATAAATATTAATAGGGTAATCCCTCAATCTCCTCCAGGCTAAAGAGACCCAGCTCTTTCAGCCTTTCCTCATAAGGGAGATGTTCTACTCCTTTCATCATCTTTGTGGCTCTGCACTGGACTCTCTCAAGCAGTTTCTGTCCTTCTTGAACTGTATGGTGTGCTAAATATGTGGCATATAAAATAGCCATAGAGTTGTACAATTCCATCCTACCTGCTCAAGAAGGTGAAAATAGTGTCTTTAGATAAAATTATATCAGTAACCTGAACATCTAGGCCACTGGAGAAATTCTGCTTTTGAATTTTTGCGGGAAGCGTATATTTTCTCTTAATCACAAAGAGCTGTTTTCAAACCTTTATTGTAATAATTGACTTCTGAAAATGCTAACACTCTGGGATCTATGCAAAAAAAAAAAAAAAAGGAAGTGAAGATAAAAATCATCTAGTATTCAAATGGCTTCTTCAAAGCCATGTCATTATATTGTGGCTCTTTTATTTGTTGTTGTTGAAGAAGCCTGTATGTACTGGTAAAAGAATCCTGGAAAGATAATTCCCACATGTTATCACACTGAGGAGAGATTTACTAGCTATTTAACTGTTCCCTTATTGCAAAAAAATGTTAACCTAGTTACAAAAAAACAACCTTGATCTAATTAAGAAACAGAAAAGAAAATACTCTTATTCTTGCTTACAGGGTTTTTATCAATTAATAAATTATAGTATCTTCCACTTTGTAGGATGCTTTTGACTGAAGATCTCAGACAATGTCAAAACAGTTCCTTCTTTAGCCTCATAGTTTTAATCAGATGAATGGTACAAATTTTCCAAATCTAGTGCTACACAGCATTAGTGTGTGGAAGGTTTTGTGTGTTTACAGCTACTCTCTTCCCTTTAGTGATACAACATTTCTTACTGTTACAAGCATTTTCTTTAGGAATTTGGTTAAGATATTTTCATGTTCAGAAGTTAAAGGAAATTATAAAATTAATTGAATGTAGCTCTTTGTAATCTGAGGCCCTTGAAGAATAGTGTTTTCTATGATTAGGTGAGTTCTTACTGAAGTCTTATTGCAAACTTCCACATATATTTTATTGTGGTTTTTCATGATTGGATTGTCATGAATTAGAATTTATCTTTCTTTTGCTCTGCAGCAATTGGGTTTCAAGGTCCTTTCTGAGGCTTCTTGAAAGAAGTCATAAATGTTCTGTGTAGAAATTAAAGACAAACTGCCAACAATAAAAATAGAGAATCAGAGAATCAAAATCAGAGAATGAAAATCTGTGAAGAAAAACTGAGGATTGCATTTTAACATATTAAAAATTAACAAACTATTGCATTATACAAAATTATTAGCAAAAGAAATTTGTAACAATGATCAAAAGTTGTGTTGCTAGAACTCAGATTTTAATTTTTTTCTTTTACTTACCAAAGCTGGTAAAATCATTATATCAATAGGCAAGTTCTGATCTGAACTAATGACCAGGTTTCTGTGCAGCAACTTCGAATTTATCCTTTTACAGAGATCAGAACCTGGCATCAAGAGGCTATGAAATGCTTCACTTCACTAAGTGAAGCAATGAAATTGACACCAGTAAAAAACAGAGAAAAAATGTTATCTACTGTGATTCCTAGAACTGGGCAATATCTCGCTGTGCTATTAGTCATCATGCTCCTAGCTAAAGACAGTATATTCTCCTGGCTGTGCTGTTAAACTGAAATAACACTGTTAATACGGAATTCAATACCTCTGAGAAGGGAACAAATCTGTTGTCATTGTGCGAATATGTCATTACCATTCACATTTTTTCTTTTTGCAGTTTACTATTCCAGAAGACACTCCTGAACTTGCTGCTTTTTTATATAATTCCACAACTTCTCATTACATCAGAAGAAGGGATGTCACAGTGGCAGAACCTCACAGGAGAAACCCTGCAAAAATATTGGTGAGCTATGAAAAAACTATAAACTGGGACTGTGCATGCAGTATATCAAGGTGCTGTTGGTTTGACTGCAATTTATTTACAGGCTTTTAACTATTTTTCTAAGTGATTTTTAACCTCTCCATTTAAAATATTGGTTATTACATATCACCATGCCACACATTAGTAAATTTTTTTGGACAGATTTTTACCTTAAAGACCATGCATGCCAAATTCCTGTCTGTATTAGTTCTGGCCACTTACAGACAAACCTCTGTGGTCATGCAGTGGCACATTTACCAAAGGCAATTTCAGCACAAATTCAGAGAATGGGCCTGTTTTCCACAAATTAGATTTCAGTTTCTGGTGTTTGAAAGGGATGTCTCTTCTTGTCAGCTTGACTCCTAGCATTCTAACTCTTATTAATAGTAGCTCACATTTAAAATTAACATTGTCATATAAAGTAACAGTTCTGACATAGATACTTTGGAGTGTATTTGTTGCCCTCAGTAAGTACTTAGATACACATGGAAAGGTAAGACTCTTCCCCTTACAGTACCACAGGCACGGCAGATGGAACAGGTCGCTGCATTTTTAACAGTCCAAACAATACTGGAGCCAGAGCAAAGATCTCTCTTCCAGGAGAGGAGTTCTGATTACACAAGTAATCTGGTACCCGAGCATTTGGATTTCACTGTATTTTCAGAAGGTTGGGGTTTTTTTCCACGCCTGTGTTCAGCAGCCCATCCTGAGCGTGCTTCATCATTGTAGGTATCAGCTCCTCTTGCCTGGAGGCTGTGTTCAAACTCAGTGACCCTGAGGTCAGCCATGGGATTCATGCAGCCAGTGCTTTCCATCTATTTTTATGAACCTCAGGCAGAGTTTCTTTCATGCTGTCCAGTCTCTTATTAAGCTGTTTACTGCAAGCTCATGTTTGAATTCCTTGGCATCACTAGAATTTTGTAGGAAGGAAAGAACCTCACAGACCTAAGTATTCTGGAGTAATAGAATAATTATGCTACTTCTGAAAGTTAATTTGGCAGTTTTCTAACAGGAAGAAGATAGAATCTGAAAGTAATGAATACCATAATGTTATTAAGAACAAAATCACAGATGAACCATCTTAAACAATAATCACTGTTGATTCCTATGTAATTCTTTCATCAACCTAATTCCCTGGAAAGAGTCTGACTCCACTGGGACTGAAAGAAAAATGCCTGGGTTTTTGAATACATGGCAGTCAATACCACAGAACATTTAATCCATTTTTCAGTAATATCTTAATTATCAGTTATCTTTCTCAGTGATTAAGCTCATCTGCTGCCAACATAGAAATTACTGCAGCAACTGAAAGTGGTTAACAGAGTTCTTAAGTATGTACTGTGTTTGCACATTAAAATATGAAGCAGAGATTTTTTCAGCTGCTTGGTGTAGACAGAGTATTTAGCTAAGTACTTAGTAATACAAAATTGGCTCTGTGATGAGCAGTCTTGTAGTACAATGTGCTTTTGATAAGCACAAATTAGGACAGGATTGGGTACAGTGCTTACCACTGGATAGATAACAGGATTTTTCCAGGATAGGCATCAAAAAGCAATATGTCATTTGTTCAGTTAGAAAGGTGTCCCAATTCTGTGTGCCTTCAGCATCGCATCCTACAGATCCAGAAAAAAATAAGGTTTTTTGACACATTAAAAATGTACATTTGAGGTGAATGTCGCTCTGGAAAATGACTGATTGGCCAAAGGTAATTCTTTGCTGATTTTTTTTGTCAGAAATTTTGAATTATTTTCATTAAGGCGTTTTCACAGAGAGAAAAATTTATCTGAGAACCTCTTATTCTGGTCATACTGTTTATTAAACATTTGGTTTCTCTTCCATTAGTTATAATGTCACAGTGTTCTGAAAATCACTACAGGCTAAATGCATTACTAAGAAAAATAGAAATATGTGTTCAGGTCCTAAAATGTTAGCCAAAAGTAGACTCTTATGCATACTAATGATTTATTTTGTTAATAACAGTTTTTGGCCACTATGATTAATAGAAACAGCTCTCCTCCTTCCTGCAAGAGAAATAAGTCTGGTCAGAGGAAGTTTACATATGAAAAACCAAATAAACAGATATTTTGAAATACTTATTTCAGAGAAAGGTTTATAGTTGCAAGTTCCAAGGTTTACAGTTTCACTTTCACACAGATTTAGAAAACAGCGATTAAGCGTACAGCTTCTACTTAACTTGTGATAAGATAGAGATTTGTGGAGGAAGCTGTCTATAAAGGTACAGGATTCCTCAAGGGTGTTTTCAGCTCTGTTACATGCATCATCATCATCTCATTTTCTGAAGTATGGGCTTTGGTAGTGCAGCCATTCTTACTCTCTCAAGGGAATATACTTGTGAACACCTAGCTTTACTTTTGAGGTCTGAAGATCTTCTGTCAGAAGTGTCAATAAAGCGTTTATAAGGGAAGGATTCTCTGCTTTTTTACAAAAGTTAGAATAAATTAAAACGTCAGCCTTCTACCCAGATCAGACCAGAACTTTTCAGTTAGGTATACCATTTGTATATGTAAACCTATAGGGTTTTTTTATACACATTTTAATAATTTTTCTGTGAGATCTTTCTTCCTTTCTATGCCCCAAACAACTGCATCACTTCAGTGGTTATCCCATAAGACTGCTCATTCCCTTCAGTGGCTTCCAGTTAGCTTTTAACATTTTTGTGACATTCTTCTGGCAGACTTCAATGGAATATATAGTTTTGAGTTGCATTGCTTGGCTTTTGTATTCAGCCCTGTCTGTGAGCCAGAATCACTGCTCATCAGGAACATTTCATGGACAAGTTTCAAGTAGAGCAACTAATGAATCTCAGCAAATGTTCTGGCTGCTATAATGTAAACATCAGTAAGAAAACCAGAAGAGTTAGAAGAGAGGAAAGATTTAGGAACTTAAATAAAGAGTTAAGGCATAGAGAAGAGAAAAAAAGTGTTGAAATCACAAAATGACTAATAGATAAAGACAGAGCACATGCTTCAAAGGATTCATAAGCACCTGGACATTTTAAGAGTTCTTCAGAGTAGATACTGTTGAAAATTGTTGCTTTTATTTTCATATCTACAGGCAAGTGGTTGTATTCATTGATGGCACAAAAAGAATCTCTCGCCTTGGTTTATAATTCTTAAAATTACTCATGGGGTATCTCATGTATATTAGATGAGGCTGCTGATTTCAGACTACTTAACTCTTTAAGAGAAAGTTGATTTGCTTTGTTAATTTATAGCATTTGGAAATACTATATACTTTTTTAAGGCATAGGTATGACTTCCCTTTATTTTGTACACAGAACTGTACAAATGTGAAGTGTATCCTAATTTCCTGCACTGTGGAACAACTGGAAAGAGGGAAGAGTGCAGCGCTGAAAATCAGGTCCCGCCTGTGGGCCCAAACATTCCTGGAGGTAATCCACACAAAAATCTCTTTCTATACACAAAGACCCCTCCATATTTTATTTGACCAGATATTTAAGAATGTAAATGCTGAAATTAAATGGGCCAAATGCAAATCCTTTATGTTACCAATTCCTTTGAAGATGGCTTGTTGTTAGTTCCTGTTCAAGTTGCATGCATACTGTTTACTTTTCTTTTTATCACTGTCACTTCTCAAATTCACATCCTGGATCTTTCCTGAAAATTCCAAGGTTGCTTTTAAACACCTTTCCTGGTTTTGTTTCTGCTTTCCTGGACTGCCCCAAATCAACAATTTCTTAGGTCTTAATAATGTGCTCTGCATTCATCATGTCGTTTCTGATATAAGGGTTTTCCTGGAGCCAAACAGTATATGGTATACTCTGTGTCCAGCTTAAAAACTCATTCATTCTCTTTTAATTGATAATCTGATTGATTATCACCTTCTTTCTTCAAGGAATTTAGAATTCCTCCATCTTTCAGGGGAATGTGTTCCCCTTAGCTGTAGAGGAAGAATAATTTATTGCCACAGTAGATCTTGCCCTAGCAAGGGAAGAATTGAAGATCTTCAGCTTACAACAGGAACTTTAAGTTTCTCACACCTATTAAGTTCATTTCTCCCTTTCCTCAAATGTGAAAGTAGATAAAAGAAATTCTTTCTCGATTAACTTGCTTTCCTGGAGAAACAAGAGTGCAGATGGGACAGTATTTACAGAGAGTTGAATGCCAGCTCAATAGCTAACCATCGTGACTCCAAATTCACAATGGGTGCATACTCTGGGGGTCACTGGTCTCTCTTAGTGTGTCGGGTTATGGCAGTGGTTATGGAAAGGAATATTTGAAAGGTTTTTCTACCTATCTGTCAGGACTTAAGGTCACATTCTGTGTTTCTTCTGCAACAGCTATTAGCACTATTGTTACTGAATAGAGCGTGAAATTATCTGGCCTTGTTTGAAAGAAAGTGATTTCTATCTAGCTCAGTAACAAAGGATGTCCTTTCAGATAGCAGGTGAATTAATTCCTGACTTTTTAGTACATTTTCTTTCTATTAGTCAATCCCACAGAATTTTCATATCCTTTCTTCAGTTCCCTTAACAAAAGTACAATGCTGTTAAGAGGAGGCATATTTAGCAAATGTGTTTGAAATACTAGACTGTATATACTTCATTTAGGTTTGCTCAGTGAGTCATCTGCTAGCGGGAAAAAAGGGCAGGCACTGGTTCAGATTTAAGCCCAAAAGCTGGATAGCTTGGATGTCTCTCTGTCCTTCTGGGATGGACATCTGGTGTAAGCTTTTGTAAAGGTCTTACAAAACTTTGCACAGAAAATGCCAGTATGTAAGCATCTCTGCAGTCATAGGAAAAACATCTATTTCAGAAAATATGATGGGAAATTTATTCGTCTTTTTTCCTGATTCCAGTAAGAGACTGTTCAACATTTACACACTGGCTAGTCCTTGTTAAGTTCAATTAATAACTGAACTGCGCTAGTTCACTGTTCCTGACACACAGAGATAGACAGAGAGGCAGAGATATTATCCCTGGCTGGAACAATCTGTGATTCTTTTGACCACTGCAGTGTGCAGGCAATATCACAGTGAACCTTCCCCATCTTCTTCACCGAGGAAAAGATAAAGCTTAGCTCCCTTACCTTAGCTCCTACCTTACTGAGAACTGGACTTGACATATTCCAGTCAAGTCTTTCTGTTCATCATTCTGCTGCTGAAATCTAACTAGCTCTATATGGGCCAAAAAGAAGGTCTTATGAGAAAAAAAACAACACATAAATGACACCCCTTGCGCAGATCCTTAGATGCCAATTTTCTAGGCCAGTTGCAGCTATTTCAGTGGGAATTTGCCTCATAAATCTTTCTTCAAGTCCAGCTTAGCATGTAACAAGAAATAACTGTAAGAGATTAAAGCTGAACAAATCTAATGAGAAGCAGAGAGTGTTTCTCTGAGGTTTTGGTTGTGACAGAGGATGTGTAACAGTTGGCACACACTAGCTACAGAAGACATGAAATCTCCTTTTCTTAGTGACTCCTAATAAAGAAAGAATCTTTTTTTCCTAGAATCATGACGTTGGTTCAGAACAAGCATAACTGCATGAAATTCAGTGGCATGTTTAATGTAGTAGCAGTGGGACTCATCTGATTTTAGTTATCTGAAAGTTAGTTGCCAAAGCTGGTTGCCTAACTCTGTCACTAGTGACAAGACAGAGGGGTATCTTTAGAAAGTGCTTTGCCAGCTGATTTGAAACATCTTCTTTGTCCTACTTCTGATCTGGATTGTGGAGAATGGTCAAAGCTGTGTCTTGGGACACGAGTGTGTGCAAACGCATCAGGCAAAGCCAGTGCTGCAGTCCCTTTAGCACCTCCTTGCTCCTTAATAAATCCCTCTTGCTAACGTCTGCACCTCCTTTTGTTCAGTGACCTCAAGGCATAGGTGGAACCTTACACCCACCCTGTGGGCAGGTGCAAGGATAAATGATCCTGTAGACTCCCTGGGTACAGGGACCTCATGGCAAACATCACTACAAGTACTACAAGTACATCTTTTGCTTCCTCTCTTGTCCTTACGTACCCTTGCTATCAAACAAGGCTTTTTATTATGGGTTGTGATTTTACCTTTTATTTGTGTCCTTAGGAAACATTTCTGTTTCCTTCAAATAATAACATGCAAGTCTGTAAAGGCTCAGAAAACTCAATTTAAAGCAACAGGGGTTCTTCCAAGTAAAAAAAAAAAAAAAAAGTAGTCCCCAGAGAACTATTGCATCCTCCCATTTATGTCTAAGAAGCTGCTAGAATAACATGACCCCTGCTTAAGATGCAAACTTAGATCCTGAGCAGAGAGAGAGCAAATAGTGCGATGGGATCTGGTTGCCTTCCTCCCACTCATCTCAAAACAGTTTGCTTTTTCACAGCCCCTTTTAAAATTAACAGTTATACAGCCATCACCATAAAAGACTGTAGAGCGTAATTAGTTTCCTAAAAAGGGTATAATCTGCTCTTAGTAAGCCTGTAAACTTCTAGTTTCTAAGGCTATCCAGAACTAAAGGATACCTGAAAAACAACTGCTGTTAGCTAAGCTGAAATCTGCAGGTTCAATAGGGGATTAAAATACAGTCAGAATATTCAGGATATGGTGATTCTCTACCAGGAAAGACTGTTCAAAGGCCAAACTGAACCTCACACTCATGTTTTTTTAAAGAAACTTAGAAAAAAAGTTGTTGTCTCTACAGCAACATCCCGAACACTTTTGCACATGCAACTAATGTACAAAATTTTCATATGCCAAAGAAAGCAGGATAATGGTGACATACAACATGCCTCAGCATGCCTCCTCTAAATGAGGGTATGACAATCTGCAGAAGAAATTGATTGTGTTCATTAAAGCTGAGAACACACTGTCATTATGAATTTTTTTCTCATGAATATGCTAATGCAAACCTGCAAAGAATTTGATTGAAAGTGATTGATTACTGCTAATATGAAATAATTCATGTTTCTCATTGAAGTTATATGGATCAGCATGTATATTTTGTTGGCACAGAAGATCAGTCATGTACTGAGTGACTCCTTCCTCTTCTGCTTAATTTAACTGACAACAGCTGACCCCTTTGTCTCTTGACAGTTGTAATCTGTCACCTTAAAACCCAACTCCCATAACAAATAACAGTTAAATGACGTGCAACGATTAGACATGTTTAAGTAAATAAAGCAGCCCAAATTTCCCAACTAGCCAACAAAGATAGAGACAGACATTGCGCAAAGGCCAAGAAGAATCACAGACTTTTTTGGATTAACTTCAAAGCCTGGCTGTAAATATGAACCCTCTAGTAAAGCTGACTTTTGAATTCAGACTTGCTGACTGAGCAAATAATAACCTGATTCATGCAAAAGAGAAACAACCTTACATGGTTATGTTACGTTGTGTTCTGTTAGGGCTCTATTATGTCTGCGTTTGTTTAATGGTATTTCTGATTGTTTGAACTGTGATGAGTACTTTTTAATATAAGACTCAAGCTAGTAAAACATCTGTTTTGAAAAGGTATTTCTAAATGATGAATCTGTACCATCTGCCTGATTTGCGACATTTTTTCAGGCTCCATGCTCTTTGGACACTTACTGTGGGAAGTGGAACTGGGCTCATTCTTGACTATTATTTCAGCCTGTATTGAAAGTTCCTCGCAATGATAAAAATCTCCTTCTGGGAGAGCCTGGGCAGGCAGTAATATAAAAAAAAAAACAACACAGAGGGTGTGCGAGGTTCCCAAGAGGTTTGAAGTTTATTTTCTTTTCTTTTAATGTTATTGAATATAATTTTGCTGTTTCTCTCTTGAGTTTTAGGCAGACCGAGTTATTTGAATTTGGCACCCCTGGCTGTGTAAAACTTTTATAGCTAGAATGGAGAAAAATCTAGTTTTAATCTAAGAAAGCTGAAAAGAATGAGAGTTATGGCAGTCATACTGTAACTAGGTGCTCCCTGAGTACACAAAGCCATGTTTTGGCTTATCTGTTAAATACTTGTTATTTCAGTGTTTCTGAACATGCACTGCTCCTGTTTCTTTTTAGATACCTAAAAATGGAAATATATATTTGACATAATAAATCAGGATTGTGCATGAGGGCGGTCCCCTATCAAGTGGATAGGCACCCAAATAGGATTAAGAGGGAATATTTCCACCCTCTTGGAAGGCAGAATCCAAAAATTACTCAGGAGGTACCTACAGCAGTAGTTGAAAGATTTACAGAGGACTTTCGTTATTCAGTATTCGGTGGTGGAAGCTAGAGCTGGCAGTCTAATAGTCAGAGAATTCATGACTTGAAGAAATGAATTCAGTCCCTTTCTCAGCTTGAGAAACCCCACATACCTGCTGTATAGAATGATGGTTTCCCCTTCTGCTGAAGCTGTACCCCTACAAGGACATAAAAAGAAATGGAAGAAGGGTATAGAAAATGAGATAGAGCCTGATGTAATACCCTGTTATTTTG